ATGGATTGACACGAAAATGTAGTAACTACACCATAAATGCATATAACTAAAGTCTACTATGTTTCACAGTCAACACATGGCTTTTTGTCTAGGTTTAAAGAGAAAGAGCACTTTTAGATAAACAAGGCAATAATAGATGCACTCGTGGAGGTAGAAAAACAAAGTTCTTTATGAACGGCAGGATTGCTTGTAATAAAGATTTAAATGCAGAAAAGAAGGCTTTAAAAAGATCGGTATCGGCAGATACTGCTTTCTGTGGTCGGCGATCGGCCTCAAAAATCCTGATCGGAGCACCCCTAACATTAAACAAGATTAATAAATGCTGTAGTACTGTAGATTAATTCATGATACTTTGAATTTGTTAATTAATACCAAATCAATTGGTTAACTAATGCTAACGAATTGAATGTTATAGTAAAGTGTTGCCAATGAATGTATTACTGGGATACTGAACCAATATGTCTCAATCATAAATGGAATCATAATCACTTCCATCAGGTTCTTACCTTATTGCCCTTATAAGTGGGGGTGGGCATTGTTGCTGAATGATTTTGTGATCTGTGATTGGACAGATTCCTTTCTGTATTCTCACTGTAAGAGTTAGAGCCCCGGCCACCCAAAGCTTTTGAAGTTTTACAGGGTGTTCCATCAGAGTCCTGCAGAAAGCCAGTGAAAAAAAATACATGTATACAAATACAAAAATATATATTTTTTTTTTTTCTGTTTTGAAATAATATTTTTACCAATACAGTGTCTAAATGTATTTGGTTTTATGCTAAAACAGCATCTAATGTTGTAAGTGAACGTTATTAATATTACCATATTTAAAATGAAATAAGGAATAGACAAACATGATAATTTACATACAGAAAATCTCTATATTAACATTTTAAGTGTGTCCAAAGAGAAATGTGGATTTGCACAGATACATATATAGAACTTACTGCATCACTTGAGCTAGAAGCCGTTGAAGATGGCGATGATGATGATGATGGTGATGAAGGGGAAGAGGGGGAAGGAGAGGAGGAGTTTGATGACACTTTGCTCCGGGGAACAGTAGGAAGCACCGCACTATCTTCAGAAAAGTTATTATTACACTCATCAAGCTCCTCAGACTCCACGAGCAGCGTGACATCATTTGCTATGGAGAATCAAAAAAGGGATATTCAGCTTTCTAAAGTGAAAGATGGATCAAAATGAGCTCAGGGATAATGTCTCACCATTACAATTGAGGACCGGCTCATTGTTGCTCCGCTGGCCCCACTGCACACTGATCCAGTCACGGTACTCTGCTACTTCCTGTGTGACACGGATTATTCTGCCTAGAATACTGTAGGGAAAAGATAAGCCCATTCATGAATCCAATCCGGAGTAGATCCTGATTTTTATCACAGCAATTTTTTCCCCCTAGGACAATTAATATTAGTTTTCACAATGTTTATCTGTCAGTTTGCAGTTGTTTTTTACTGTTTGCAAATTACTATTACTAACTATTACTATTACTAACAAATTACTAACTATGGGTGTTTAGAATACTCCAAATACATTAACAATAAAACAAGATTAAGAACAAATTCACATGCATATAAATGTGCTGTAAACTATGCAGAAATCTTGAGAAGTTCTCCTAATTTTTAATTAATTTAATGTATGCATTTAGCAGATGCTTTTATCCAAAGCAACTTACAGTGCATTCAGGCTATACATTTTTTACCAGTATGTGTGTTCCCAGGGAACTCCTGTGTGTATAAATACAAATAATCCTCGTAAATATGAGACCCATTATCTATGTATGATAAGGTAGTGCATATCCCCCCTGACATGTCTTAAACCAAGAGAGCTTGAATACTGCTGTCATAGTGTCTGCACTGCATATTACATCATGGGTCAATAAAGAAACACTTTTTTCAAATTCATGAAATAATACGAAACACGTTTAATGTTCTGCCCAGCCCTTACAACTAAGAAAATTAAATGCACACATCTTTTACCCAGTTCTCCTTGTCTCACCTCTCTGACTCGTTGTTGGGGTAGTACTTGGCAATCGGGGACACAGCATGACTTAAGACAACATAAGCGTAATCAAAAGCCTCTTTCACCTGCATCGCCCCATATGAACTTCGCCCAACATCATTTCCTGTGACACAGACACACATAAACAAGTGATAAGAATCAGAACATCTTCCATACAATCTTTGATGACATTTCCGTATCAGTTGAACTGTTTAAAACGTTAATCAGTTTAAAATGTGCATGTGTGCGTGAGGGTTTGTGTTTGTACCTGGCTGCAAAGGATCCTCAATGTAAAGCATTGAGGGTCTGTACCCATCCAGCATGCCTTTCTGCACTTCATCCTTGGCCAAATACGAGCCACCGTCTTTGATCCTGATCCCTGTCTTCAGGTAGTTAAAATTCCGTCCGTACAGCTCAAAAAACTCAATCAGCAGTACACCCAAGTTTGGGTTTGAACTACACACATCCTCTCTGTAGTGCAGCTGAGAAATAAAACATCAGTTACAATTGTAATGAAGTTGTTGTATTAGCTAAAAGCCTATGAGCAATTATCATTAAATAGGTGATTTTCACTCTGGAGGCAAATCTGACGATGCATATACCTTTGGATAACAAAAACAGGCTTTATCAAGCTGATATTCACAAAGAGTGTTACATTGTGTGCATTTAAAGCTGTATTCTAATGTACACTACTGTAGTAGTCTCTTATGCACACTAAGGCTCCGTCATAAATTCAGTAAAAACAGTAATATTGTGAAATATTACATAAATAACTGTTTTCGATTTGAATATACTTTAAAATTTATTTCTGTGTTGGCAAAGCTGAATTCTCAGCAGCCATTACTCCAGTCTTCAGTGTCACATGATCCTTCAGAAATCATAACCGTAATTTACTCTATGATGAGTAGAAAGAACAGCAAACGAACAGCATTTATTTGAAATAGAAATCTTTTGTAACAATGTAAAAATCTTTACTGTCACAGTGCAGTTAACATGTTTGTTAGCATTATTTATTTTTGGGTACTAGTGAGAGAGTGTGTGTATTTGAATGTGTCGAAGTGTGTTACCTGTAAGAAGCTGACAACCATGAGGAACAGACTGTATGAGCCGATGCCTCCCGTAAAAACCTCATTCAGCTCTCTTTGCAGCAAAAACTGCTTCAAAACCAGCACCAGGTGCGGTAATACGGGAAATTGCTAAAACACACACACAAATACAAGTCAGAAAATAAATCTGTATAAAGAAATAACATTTAAAGGCTGTCCACGTCAACTTTAAAAAACCTCCACACTCACCTGTTTAAAGTCCTTGATGAGGTTTGCAGCTTTAACACCGTTCTGTACATTAAAGCTAATGTCCACTTTTACCTCTGTGTGCAAGTCTGTCAGTTTAATGATGGGAACCTACAAACACACAGAGCATTAAACACAAGCAGGGATGTCTGACAGACATCAAAAACAGCCTACATACGTGTATGACAAAGCACTGCGCGTACCGTGGCTTTGTCCAGGACTTTGACAGAGTTCTCATCTGCAATTTTTCTCTTGCGTAGCGCCTCTTCCAGAGTCCAGAGAGGTAAAGTCTCCCAGTGACCAAAAACCACCAAGTCTATATCACTGGTATAAAGAGAAGAACAGTGTTAAATATAAGCAAACAAAAACGATTTTCTTCTTAATGAATGAACAATGTTGTTTTGGAACAAGTTTGATGGCTTTAAAGGGGTCATGAACTAAGAAATCAAAATTCCCTTGCTCTTTTGATATACAAGAGGTCATTGTACTATAAAAACATCCTGTAAGTTTCAGAACTCAAAACTTTCTTGTTAGTCTAAGAACAGCTTATATTGAAGCCAATCTGCCAAAACGACAGCTTGTGGAATGTGCCACTTTATGACATAATAGTGTGGCTAAACTCCACCTCCGCAGAGGAAGATCAACACCTGCTTCAATATCACTGCCTGTTGCCCCGCCCACCGATTTGCACATGTAGTAAATGAATAACGAGAGAGGCAAACGCAGATCTAGGCAGAAACCAAATTATAAAGATGCTCTGAAAACAACAAGACGCTGTTCAGTGCCAAGTTGTGGAAAAACACCTTCTGATCCAAACATTAGGAAAGAGTGGATGAAGTTTATTTTTAATGAAGATCCATACTGCGTCAGTAAGAACTTGGTCCTTTGTTCACTTCATTTCACAGTGGATTTGTTTACAAACAAGGCACAATTCAATGCAGGATATTCAGAAAGATTGAAGATGATGCTGTGCTGAGTTGACTATACTGGATCTGACAGTAATGTCGCACCACACGAGGGCGAATAAATGTTTTTATTACATGGTCACTATTGCTTTGTCTGTTATTACAGATCGTTTGATATGTAGTATTTATGCATTTTTGACCTAAATCGCAGAAGCGTCCATCTATGAAGGATGTAGGCTGTCAAACATACACAACTGTCAGCCAATCATAGCAGAACATTGCACAACATTGCACAAAAAAAACACAATCTTGGGAACATTATAAGTGGACCTCAGAGAACAGTACAAAATAAAAAAGGCAGTTCATAATTTTAATTTTAATAAAATTAATTAATTTGAAATAAATTAAAAACAAACTTATGTAAGGGCACCCAAGTATGTTACAAATGAACTGATGGATGTACTAAACTGAATACTAAACTCGACTGTTTAAGCAACTAGCATACTTGTGTATTGGCACTATTGGTACTATTGATAGATTTATTCCACTAAGCCACAGTTCAGTAATCCAGGTGGCGTATAAACGCAGTATGACTGGTCTGAGTGAAGTGAGATTGCCACAAAAAAAAAGAAAATCACACACTCGGGATGGCAGGATAAGCAGAGCTAAAATTACACATCTTAATCCCCTCCTTGCAAGCACACAAAAAGTACACATAGACACACACACACACAGCTGCAAGTCATAATACATTATATTACACAATTACAAAAATTAGACTTTCATTTAACTCACACCACAAATCAGGTGTATGTACAATAACATTTAAGATCATATGGATATTGTGCTGAGTGTAAAAAAATGTAGCAAGAGCAAAAAATCTTAACATTACCTTGTAGGTAAATACAAGCCTGTGCTGAAGCTGCCAAACACTTGAACCTGAATCAGAAAATAGAAAAACAGATTAAATCTGCCCTTACATGAATCTCCCTATGAAACTATTAGTCTCAACAGCCAGCCTGTGTTCATATTTAAAACGGAACATATCTATAACATGCAGAACAGACACAAGTATTCATACGAGATGCTCTGGTGTTTGAGTACATGAGCGCAATTACATTGCAGAAACAAAGTAGGACTGAAAATGGCAAGCAAGCTGTGACCTCATAAGACATAAAAATTTTTGGTGAAAGAGCTGTAAATTAAAGTATATTAATCCGTGTATTCTGTTGGTTCACTCGGAAAATAATATAATATAATATAATATAATAATATAATATAATATAATATAATATAATATAATATAATATAATATAATATAATATAATATAATGCTGATCGTTACATGCAATGCAAGCCTACGGGACAATGTACTCCATAACTTAATAAGCACAAAATAAATATAAATAAAAAATAAATACACACTTGAGCCAAGCATAAATAAATAATTAAAAACAAGCACTCAACATGCAGTATACATGAAGTATTCATTCACACAGGGACTTAAAGACATGTAGGTGGTTCTAAAATAGTAGGTAAAGCCTCTCCTTGCAAAGTTAAATACTCGATCTTCTTACACCGACACAGACAATGCACATCCTTTGGGTAACCCTGAGAGAGTCATATTGAGAATAATTGTTCTTTAGTACTAACCATTAGCAGCTGCTAGCCTGTGCACTGCTTTCAGCTTACAGGAAAAATTATCGCTATAGGAGCTAGATTGTCTGACAATAAATATGCATTCCTAAATTTCACAAGCAACCAGACACTGGCACTGAGAAGGAGATGCTAATTCGGTTTATTTAATGTGTAAAAGCAGGAAGACAAAAACTACACTGTGTGATTCAAATATAAACATGCTTCTGAAGAACTCCCCTGATACAAATGCATGTTTTAGCTACAAGTGCCTTGGCTACTTTTCTAACAATTTGCACTCATATATACTACAAAGAAACAAGCAATCCTCTGTTATTACACCGATTATGCTTCCTTGAAACATTAGCCTGCATTCTGAGCTAAATATAAAGAGTTACAACTAGTGGTTCAACGGATCAGAAATCTCACGGTTCGGATCACATTACGGTTTTTGACCCACGGATCGGATCATTTTTCGGATCAGCAAGAAAATAAAAATATTTAAATGTGTATGTGTCTGTTCAGAGGATTCAGAAGAGGATTCAGTTTGCGTGCCGTCTGAAACGTGTGTGCGCGCTTCATGTGTGTGCGCGTAGAGAACAGAACAGCACGCGAGTAACTGCTGTGTTTTTTTCCACAACACAAAGGCCAAATAAGGCTGTTGACACACTTTTAATTATTTTTCAGCTCATTATCCATGCATTTAGAACTACATTTTAGCAACAGAAGGTCCTGCCACTTGTGGAATGCACGAAAGGGTCACTGCTGAGTTAGCTATGCTATTCTCTTAGCAGATTCTGTGCAGTTTATATTTCCACATCATGTGTCTTTAGTGTCTTTATTATTTCACTTTGTACACCCATTAGGCATTTCTTTCTCTGCTAGAAAACATCCATAAGCTACAGTTGAAATACAAATAAGATGATTAGCCGCCAACCAATTCAAAATAGCTGGACTGAACAACACAAACTGTAAAACTTTATATAAAGCAAATTAATGCAAATTCATTGTTAAATCAATAAACATATCCTTTCAGATATACAGGTAAACTGAGAAGAGTATTTATTGTATTCCTGACAGGTTCCAGTGACAACTTAGAAATGGAGTCCCTCAAGGCCCTATATTTAGACCTCTGCATGTCCATGACACCAACGTGTAATGGTGAACTACTGCAAGAACAAATTCACATATGGTTTTGATATTTAAAAGGTCAAGTAGAAGTTCTGAAAAAGTGTTTGTATTTATGCCTCTTTGGCAGGTAGCCTATTGATTGTTCCTCATCATCCAGATATTCAAGAATACAAATGACATAAACCCCAAGAAGACAATAATATGAGTAACACTAACCTCAGCATTGGGCCACAAGTCCTTGATGACTCTCTGGATCCTGGCCACCACCTCTAGCCTCATGTGGTCCTCCTCTGGACGAGGAGAAATATACTCATAAAAGTCCTTTATCTCCTCATGCAGCCTGTATAGAGAGAGAAATTAAGTATTACATAATCAAAGAATGACTGCATTATTGACAATAATGCTCTTTAATGTTTAACTCAAATACTACATTAAAGTGATTTGGTGGCACAATACCACAAATAGGTGTTGTTAATGATAAACCTGGTTTCTGGTGACCTGAGCTGTTGTGAGTGTAATTCAATATCAATAAAGACAGAATAAGAAATAACAGCCAATAGTAATGCATACAAATGTGTTTGTTTTCCTAGTACATAATACATATAAACACCTAAACTAAATGATTTTGACAGAAGTCTCTTATGCTCACAAGACTGCATTTATTTGATCAAAAATTCAGTAAAAGCAGTAATATTGTGAAATATTACAACTTAAAATTGTTTGTATTATAATTTAAAACGGTTTTCTATTTTAATATATTTTATGATGTAATTTATTCCTATGATGGCAAAGCTGAATTTTTAGCAGTCATTACTCCAGTCTTCAGTGTCACATGATTCTTCAGAAATCATTCTAATATGCTGATTTGCTGCTTAAGAAACATTTCTTATCAATGTCTAAAACAGTTGTGCTGCTTAATTTCTGTGGAAAACATGATACATTTTTTCAGGATTCTTTGATGAATAGAAAGTTTACATCAAAGAACAGTAACTGTTTGAAATTTAAATATTTTGTAACATAATAAATGTTTTACTGTCCCTTTCGATCCATTCAATGCTCCCTGCTAAATAAAAATATAAATTCCTTTTTTTTTTTTTTTTTTAAATCTTACTGACACCAAACTTTTGAATGATATTGTATGCTGTCATGTAAGCAATGAGAACATTGGTTAACATGACTCAGGGTAAGAAAAGAATAAAGAAACAAATTCACACCCTAGTTACAGGTAAGTAAACATTCAAAGGCAGGTTACTACAGCTAGTGAGGCTTCAGAGTCAGGAAAGGGAGAGTGTAGCTAAGTGACACATCATTATTACTCATTTCTAATAAATTGACCCTAGAAAGCAGCACACCCTCAACTCAACTCAACCCAACCTGACCCAGCAGTCCAAGTTTATTCCAACCTGAACACTAATTTCAAGCAATTGTAGCAGCATCGAACACTGCATGGGACACACCTGCAGAAATACTATACATGCAAGCTGCTTAGAGAAGCAGAATTCAGTCACTGAAATAGTCTTAGTGTCATGCAAGTTCAGTATGTTCAGTAGATGACTGCGCCAAGGCACCTGTTATCACCTCTCATTCTCTTCCAGCTTTTACTAACACTGGTCTTCTGGTGCCAGGTGCCAATCCCATGACTAGGGTTGAATCCGCACATGCATGCCAAACTGGCCGCCATCCTTATTTATGCACATGTAGCTGCTGCTGCAGGTGGTTTCATCATTCTGTACATGTGCTGAGTTTGCCCATGACTTAGGTAATGATACTAATAGACTTCCTCAAAGATGGAGCTAACAACGCCAAGGTCATGGGTTTGATTTACAGAGAATGCATGAACTGATATAACATTCACAATGAATGGTGTACAGTGGGTACGGAAAGTATTCAGACCCCCTTAAATTTTTCACTCTTTGTTATATTGCAGCCATTTGCTAAAACAATTTTTCTCCCTCTTGCAGGCACTCATGTCACTTCCATTTCTTTGATAAATGAATTAATTCACATGTTGTAAATCAGTCTGTAGGTCAATAGCACACACAGCCCCTAAATTTAGCGATCAACTATGCGTATTATAAACTTAACATTTAACATATAACATTTTTTTCTATTAAATGATTTTGTCTTTGTTACTCTTAGTTATAAAGGATGAACATTATAGTCCTGTCTCGTCTTAACGAAGACGCGGCATAAATTTCGTCATCATTTTTATTAGGGGTGGGAATCGCAGGGTACCTCATGATACGATATGAATCACGATACAGCGATTCTGTGATAATCGATATATTGCTAGACAATTCTATAACGATACATCACTATGAAAACAAAATGCCTGTGAAAAGGTTAAGTGCAAGTTTTCTCTCTTTATTCAAGTCCAAACTGTTAGAAAACAGCACAAAAGTTCTGTAAATCAAATTTAACATGCTAAGTAAATGAATCATTTTATTCTTGGACTTATTAGAAGCTTGCACTTGTCTTTGTGTGTAAACCAACACATTTAACTGCTTCTCAACTATGACCCGTTGAATTCTTTTTGGAGCGATGACTGATTGAATGTATTTTTAGTCCAGTGACTGCATATAAGATTAGTATTGACCAAGTTCAGAGGCTGTCATATGTGGATCAACTTATGTTGTGCATTTTCAACAGTTTCAATAGGAAAAATAACTTTTATATTAATTCAATGGATTTATTGCATTTTGGGAAAAA